GATCAAATGCCTTTGATATTGCATGTTTCAGTTGGATTTTTCGATAATATTCTAAATTTTAATGTGAAGCGTTTCCTTTGTAGTGAGAAGCCACGTTTGATCCAGAATTAGCGACTGAAACAACATGATTTTTCCCAAAGTATATTTGGTTTTTACACTTGTACAGCAATAAAATTTGCCAATGTGCAGTCAATTAGACAATGTGTATATGATGGGTGTGGGTGTGACAATAAATCTTGCTTTGAATGCCATTCGTGCCCACATCTCACACCCGCACCCTTCGTTCACACTAATTATATTCCCTCATCTTACTCTTCTCAATTTGGTTTCAGTATATGTTGATTATGCTGAATAATTTCTCTTAGATAAAAACACTCATTTGACTTGTTTGTTAAATCCCTGCCGCACATACGAATTACTTGCAATACTAACAAACAATTTTGCCAATGATGCAACAAGTCTCAATTGCACTCAAATAAAAAGACATAAAAAACAAATGGAAGCATAGCCGCTTTTAGCGATTGACTATCTAATCAAGGAGCAGATATTTCACTATTTATATTGGAAAAATCGAGATAATATACTTTAAAGTTGAAAAATACATTCGTGAAGTAATACACAGAGATCGAGCATGCTCTTCTGCTGGTTGAGGGTAGTTGAAGTTTCTCTTCAATAAAAAATTAGCTTTTCAAAAGGAAGAAATATATGAAAAATTGCAGTCCAGTTAACTTTTCAATTGCCCATAGTTACTCACACTGGAAAATAGTTTAGCTAGGAAATACCCACTACTCAAAGATTTCTGAATATGCCACTGGCGCCAAATAGTCTTCTATTTCAGATGACTTTTGTTCATATATGTTTCTCAGATGAATGAATTCGAACATTTTCTGTTAGATCTGACCAGTAGAACCCGTCAGACTGGTCCCGAATCTGAATTCGATCGGGTTGAGGTCTGAAAGCCTCTTGTTGACCGATTCCGACTTCGGGTTATACTCAACGGAGGCTGTTCTAAAAGAAAGAATCAATTCACAACTTGATTCTTATAAGGTCACTGTCAAGATTGCCTGAGAAATATGTACGGTATGTTTTTTTATGTTTATTAAAGCTTACATCCACACCCTTATCAATTACTAAATTGGAAGCTTTACCAAAAAAACGACAGTTTTAGGCAATTCTTTGAGCAATAACAAAAATAATGACTGCGACAGTTTTGAGCGATCCAAGCAGCTATTTTAACATAAATCTGGGTGACTCAAACAGTTTTTTACATACCGATTTAACAGCTTTTTCAGGCGAAACACAATCAATATATAATTTAGCAAATCAAAAAACAAGTAATATACACACGATCATTTGAATACTGATAACTCATTAATGGTTTAACATAAAAAAAGATTAGTTTTATAAAGAATTTTAAAGAACAATAAAAATAAAATAACAATAACAGAATTTTGTAATTATTTCGAATCAAACAAATTTTTATTGTTTATGCTTATATTGTCTGTTTATTTTTAAGCCAATCTTTGTGTATAATTTGAACGACGTTTACAAAGTAGTACTATCATAATTATAAAAACAATTAGGCCAATAATTCCAACTATAATACCAATAATTGCACCAGTAGAGAGTCCATCATCACACGCTGAAATTGTTGCACCGGGATTCTGTCCACATTTTGATGGATAATGAGTAGTACATGCACTATCACACGTAGAACAGCTACCAACATTTAATGATGGTAATGATTCTGGCTTACAGGAAATACCAGAACAGCATGAACAACTACATTTTGCTGTTTCTATTATTGTTGAGCAAAACATTAGAATAAATATAATTATAAATAATATTGTTGTTAATGAACGCATTTTGATTACTATTTAATGAATAAAATGAAACAAAATACTATCATGTTAATATACGTTATTTTCTTTCAAACTTAAGTGCAAAATAATACTGAAATCATTGATGATTATGTTTTATGATGCTCAAAAATGATTCGTAATCAATATTGATCATCATGCCATTATTAATTTTATATAAAAATGTTTGTTAAATTATGTAGTATAAAATGAAGTAACTTATATAAATAAACTAGAACGGTCTAACATTTAAGGCATTAGCTATGCACGATCTAGTGTTTGATTCTTAGTTCTGATACACATGTTTTTCGTCTATTTTGTCTTGCTTAACGACAATATTGTCCGAGCAAAAGTACTCCAGTCAAAGAATCTAAAGGTGGCTGCAGGAGTATGGAACGATGCGCCTACGGTTATTGAATAATATTAATGCATCAGCTGACGCAATGATCAACACTGTAATACGGCCCGATACATTCGTCGATGTGGCAGCTGATACATTATGTATGTATTCCATAATGCATTGAGATTCTTAGTGCACTAATATTATTCACAGTAGTAAACACATAGGGAAACACCAGCTATTGCATTGAAAACATGGGAGAACATCAGCTATTATACTGGACAAAATGAGGAAACAGTAGATATTGCATTGGAAACTCTGCGAAACATCAATCAGTATATCGAAAACATTAAAAAAAAACATCAGCCATTACACTAAAAACATAGAGAAACATTAGCATTTGCATTGGAAAAATATCTTCAAGAGATATTTTAGAAAAATTTTATGGAGGTACAGTTATTACCAGATTCCAATATTTTCAGCCCGGATTCACTTAGGAACTTGTTCTAAGTGTCCTATTCTTGTTCCAAATATAAGTCGACGAGCTCTATCCCACGGTGTGTTCAGACTTGCTACAGCCCAAAGTACAATTTTTGGGACCATATAGGACGCTTTACAAAACCTAAAAATTATACTTTGGGATGTGACAAGTCTGAACACACCGTGGGATAGAGCTCGTCGACTTATATTTGGAACAAGAATAGGACACTTAGGGTGGGTGTGGGCGTGCATCTTGTGTCTGTACACATTGAGTCCTTCATACACCCACGCCCTATCATTCGTTACGAATCATAAAGTTCTCTTTGAATTTTAAACTGAAATTTGGAAATCGAATACAAAACTGTAGAATATTGAACTATAAAGGTGCGCTACTTGCTTCGGCATGTGTTCTTTTTCTATGACGCCCCCACCTCATGCGATACAACACAGCGTAAAATATGTGAGTAGATGATTATGGAGACGACAATCAGACGCATACCTATACCCTATACTCTACATTTAGAACCTATGGTGCTACAGGTAGCATTTGTTATGTCACAGATAAAACGTCGAAACACTACTTGAGAAGTTATTCGAATAATATTCAGGTAGCTCTTTAAAACTTACACTGAATACATATATT